GTGTTAATTTTTTTCACCATGTTTTGGCTGTTTATGCACAAATATATTATTGTAAAGTAATAAATTAAAGTATTATAAAAGAGAACCTCAGAAAGGGGTGTACAGATATATGAATGAGTGAAGTAGTTGATATTAACAGCAAATTTACAAACACATTTTATCGGAAAGTGCTATTATTGTATTGTTTGTTCATTATTTCACTTATGTATATTTATTTATTTGTACTTAAATTTTTTAATGTACATACAAAGTCCCTTATTTATCGGCGATAGCCACAGTGGAATGAACCGCAAACTAATCCAGCATTTGTTTTACACAGCGGATGCCCTTCTAGCTGCAACCCAGTCCTGGGAAACACCCTTACACACACCGATTCAGGCCAATTTAGTTCATCTATCCCGCTATAGCGAATGTTTTTGGACTGTGGGGGAAACCGGAGCACCCGGAGGAAACCCACGCCAACATGAGGAGAACATGCAAACTCCACACAGAAATCCGAAAAGCCAACTCAAACTAGCAACCTTGCTGTGAGCTGCCCTATATGTAATGTTTTTATGAGGTATATCTAATCTATTTTTGTCTTCTTTACTGCAGTATACTGAAGCAGAAGGAAAGAAACTGGGAGTGACGGGCTGGGTGAAAAACACTAGACAGGGCACTGTGGTTGGGCAAGTGCAGGGACCTCCGGAAAAAGTCAAGGAAATGTGAGTGTGAAGTTTTCTGTGGTCTGTCATGCGCAGTGCGTGTTTTGAGCAGCAGATGGCGCCAGCGCTTCAGTGTTAACCTCATGGAAGAGTCTAGAAAGGCTCTTTGTCACAGTGAGGGTGTGAAATGGAAACTCACACACTTGTGCTTGAGAGCTTTGTGCTGCAGCCTATAATCACCAGATGGAGACGCAGGAACTGAACAGCTCCACTGGAGCACATTTAACACTCAAGCTTTCACTCAGTCTTTAAAGTGTCTGTTGTGTGTGTATGTTTGTGCATTTGAATGTGTTGTGTGCATGTGTGTGTTGGGTTAAGCATGTGTGTGTGTTTAGTTTGAATTTGAGCATAGTTTGTGTGTGTGTGTGATTGTGTGTTGAATGTGTGTGTCCTTTTTATTGCGTGTGTGTGTTGAATGTGTGTGTTTGTTCAGTGCATGTGTGTATTTGTATTTAGTGTGTTTGCATGTTGAGTGTGTGCACATTTATGTGTGTGTCTGCATGTGTGTGCTTGTGCATATGTGTGCTTGTTGAGTGTGTGTGTATTTGTGTTTGTGCATGTTGAGTGTGTTCGCATTAATGTGTGTGTCTGTATGTGTGTTTGTTGAGTGTGTGTTCAGTGTGTATTTGTGTTTAGTGTGTATGTGTTGAGTGAGTGTTTGTGCATGTTGAGTGTGTTCGCATTTATATGTGCGTCTGCATGTGTGTGTTTGTGTATGTGTGTTTGTTGAGCGTGTCTGTGTCTTGAGTGCACGTGTGTTGAGTGTGTATTTGTGTTTAGTGTGTACATAATGAGTGTGTGTGTGCGGGTTTGTATGTGTTGAGTGCATGCTTGTTGAGTGTTTGTGCATGTTGAGTGTGTTTGCATTAATGTGTGTGTCTGTATGTGTGTTTGTTGAGTGTGTGTATCTAGTGTGTTCAGTGTGTATTTGTGTTTAGTGTGTATGTGTTGAGTGAGTGTGTGTGTGTGTTTGTGCATGTTGAGTGTGTACGCATTTATATGTGTGTCTGCATGTGTGTGTTTGTGTCTGTGTTAAGTATGTGTGTTTGTTGAGCGTGTCTGTGTCTTGAGTGCATGTGTATTGAGTGTGTATTTGTGTTTAGTGTGTGTATGTGAGTGTGTGTGTGGGTTTGTATGTGTTGAGTGCATGCTTGTTGAGTGTTTGTGCATGTTGAGTGTGTTCGCATTAATGTGTGTGTCTGTATGTGTGTTTGTTGAGTGTGTGTATTTGTGTTTTGTGTGTACGTGTTGAATGAGTGTGTGTGTGTTTGTGCATGTTGAGTGTGTACGCATTTATATGTGTGTCTGCATGTGTGTGTTTGTGTCTGTGTTAAGTATGTGTGTTTGTGGAACGTTTCTGTGTCTTGAGTGCATGTGTATTGAGTGTGTATTTGTGTTTAGTGTGTATATAATGAGTGTGTGTGAGCGGGTTTGTATGTGTTGAGTGCATGCTTATTGAGTGTTTTTGCATGTTGAGTGTGTTCGCATTAATGTTTGTGTCTGCATGTGTGTTTCGTTGAGTGTGTGTATTTGTCTTTAGTGTGTATGTGTTGAGTGTGTGTGTGTTTGTGCATGTTGAGTGTGTACCCATTTATACGTGTGTCTGCACGCTGTGTGTTTGCGTCTGTGTCTTAAGTATGTGTGTTTGTTGAGCGTGTCTGTGTCTTGAGTGTATGTGTATCGAGTGCGTATCTGTGTTTAGTGTGTATATAATGAGTGTATGTGAGCGGGTTTGTATGTGTTGAGTGCATGCTTATCGAGTGTTTGTGCATGTTGAGTGTGTTCGCATTAATGTGTGTGTCTGTATGTGTGTTTGTTGAGTGTGTGTATTTGTGTTTAGTGTGTATGTGTTGAGTGTGTGTGTGTTTGTGCATGTTGAGTGTGTACGCATTAATGTGTGTGTCTGTATGTGTGTGTTTGTGTATGTGTTAAGTATGTGTGTTTGTTGAGCGTGTCTGTGTCTTGAGTGCATGTGTATTGAGTGTGTATTTGTGTTTAGTGTGTATATAATGAGTGTGTGTGATCGGGTTTGTATGTGTTGAGTGCATGCTTATTGAGTGTTTGTGCATGTTGAGTGTGTTCGCATTAATGTGTGTGTCTATGTGTGTTTGTTAAGTGTGTGTATCTAGTGTGTATTTGTGTTTAGTGTGTATGTGTTGAGTGAGTGTGTGTGTGTTTGTGCATATTGAGTGTGTACCCATTTATATGTGTGTCTGCATGTGTGTGTTTGTGTCTGTGTGTTAAGTATGTGTGTTTGTTGAGCGTGTCTG